CTGACGGCGACGGACAGATACTGGAGGCGCGATTCGATGCCTTCAAGTTTCCCACTTCAGACGTCGTTCAGTTCAAAGCACTGGTCGCCCCGTGTCTGCCATCGTGTGAACCAATTAAGTGTAATATCAACGGAGCCGACGGCCGGACGAGTGAAGTGCACTCTTATGGCAAACGCCGGAGGAAGAGAGAGGCCGACGAAGTATTGGTCGTCCAGTCGTTGTCAGTCAGCGATAAGCTTGGGTTTCAAAGAAGTCAACGAAAGAATGACGCGAACGAAGAAAATGTTTCATTTATGAAGGGTTTGTCAACACTTTTCTTCAATGTTTTATTTTGTGAAATAAAAAACTAATTTTATATTTGTTTATCTATTTAGACGAAAAAGTGATGGAAATAAATACATGTAAAAACATATTTAGCATCACTTTAATTGCATTGACGTTTATATTGGCGCAAACCATTCTCATTGTGATCTTTGCCTGTCTTTGGTCCGCCAAACGCCGAGAACGAGTGTTGGCCAACAGAGAGTGGCCTCAATCTCATCTGATATCCAATGAAAACTCGTATCCAAGTGTTTGCAGCAATGAATTCATGTATCCGGCGAGAAAACACTACTAAATTACAACTAAATTACAGCTAAATTACATCCACTAAATGTTTTGATTATTTATAACAATTGGATTTATTTATATTTAAAACAAAAGTCATCCAACATTTATATGCATTAATATTCTGGTGATAATGCAATGGATTCTTCAGACAAACTAAATCAATACAAAAGGGTCGGGATATCCATACAAATGGTTTCAATTATCACTCTTAGGGGTTATTCAATATGAGAACAAACATTCAATTCTTGTGATTCTTCTTCGGTTAAGACATACAAAATATACATTATATTTATTTCATTATTTCATTCATTATTTATTTATATTTATTTTGTGAACCGAAATGTGTGTAATTCGGCAGCTATTGAATTAAGTAATCATTTATTCATTATTTATTTATTTATTCATCTATTTATTAATTAATTCATCTAATTATTTATTTCATTAATTTATTAATTTTATTTAATAAACATTTTATAATTAAGAAATAATACTAATTGACATTTTTAAGTAAAATACAAGTTACTGTTTAAATAAAATTTTTAACTTATTTTTTAAAGAGATTTTTATATCCAGTAAATATTTTGTATTTAATTTATAAATTAACTCAAAAATTCAGTATATTTTGTATATAATTTTCAAATTAAAATGAATAAAAATTTTTAAAATTAAATTTATAAATAAAATATTATTTATTTGGTTTCTTTTCACTGGCGATGACATTGGTTTGATGGCTATTGTGGAAATTGTATTGTATATCAAATTATACAGTATTACTCACATATTGGTCTAATATAAAGTCTGTGTAAATTAGAATTAATAAAATATAATACTGTGATACAATAAATCAATTTTGAAATTAACGTTAATATTGAAATTAATATTATCTAGATTAATATAATAGATAAATATATGGTCCGTGATAAAATCTTCATTAATACTTCAATAAAGAGATTGACAAACAAACTCACAAATAACGTAATTACATATCTAATTTAGTTATTCAATAATTATAACCGTAAGTAAAGCTGAGAGTACGAATGGTTAACAAAATTGGCGACTCATGATTGTCCGGACCCGTCGGGTGTACTGCACTTTTCCAAAGTTAGTGTCGTGTCTGTATAGCACTGGTATATTGTGAACTTTGGCCTTATTTTGGAGCAAATCTGCTCCGAGTGCTGGTAAAGAGTGTAGTCTTCACGGCATTTATATTTTGTCGGGAGAGCTCACGTATTCGGGAATCTGTCCGCATGCATGTATCAATTATCATACGATACAAGTATACTGTAACTACAACTCCATCTGGAGCCTCATATTGCTATCATTAGGCACTAAAAAGTTTCCTATGGAAACATATTATTGTCGGGTCTTATACAGAGTGATGGTCAGTGACAATGTTAAGCTAATGTCGTTTAACATGGTCAATTCAATTAATGCACAGTATTTGGATATATATGAAATGCTAAATCCTGAGGACATAGCACCGAGCAATTAATTAATTTTAAGACAATTATTGCTTTCGAGATTGTCCATGATTACTAATAGACTATTTTTATGGTAAATAGTAACCCTCATAAGTTATGACACTGTTTAAATTTACTTTCGGTTTACATACCGTGTTGTAACCACTGGTCGGAAGCTTTAATATGTTAATATACAAACCACTCACTGCTCACTACTTTTTTCTAACCATGTTTATTGTAAACCATTATCAGCGGCTAAACGTTGGATTTATTGCATGTTTTCATAATTTATATGCAAATGATGTCATAAATATTTGAAATGTTAAAAATAATTTAAAATTGAATACACATGTTTAAATTTGATTTTATGTATTTATTCATTTAAATTTAAAAAGTATATACAATATGTATTGAAGTAATGAGTTAATTAGTGACTGAATTATCATGTATTTAAGAAAACTATTTTTAATGAATAAAATAAATAAATGGAAACAAATTGATAATGAAATTAATAAATAACGATAAAATGATTACTTAATTCAATAGCTGCCGAATTACACACATTTCGGTTAATGTATTTAAGAAAACTATTTTTAATGAATAAAATAAATAAATGGAAACAAATTGATAATGAAATTAATAAATAACGATAAAATGATTACTTAATTCAATAGCTGCCGAATTACACACATTTCGGTTTACAAAATAAATATAATAAATGAAATAATGGGATAAAAATAATTTGTATTAACCGAAGAAGAATCACAAGAATTGAATGTTTACTCTTATATTGAATAACCCCTAAGAGTGACAATTAAAACCATTTGTATTGATATCCCAACACTTTTTGCATAAGAACTTATTTTGTTTGAAGAATTGATTGAATTATTTTTAATAATACAAAAAACTTTAAATGACTTGTTATAACTTAAATAAATTCAATTGTTATAAATAGACTAAACAATTTAGTATTGTTTTCGCGTCGAATACACAAAATCATTGCCAAGACTTGGATACGAATTGTCATTTGAAATGAGCTGCGATTGCGGCCACTCTCTGGTGGCGAGCGTTGAGTCGATGTTAATAGTGTTTTGGGTTAAATTAACAAAATATTCTTGATTATAATTTTTGCTATTATTTGGATTGCATGCAATTTTATTAAATACTATAACAATTAAATATAACAAACAATTATAATAATTGTTGTAGTTAAATATTAATACATGGTTCAATGCTAACATTATTTCAATTCATTTAAAATTGCTTGACATTTATTAAATGTCACATAGACATAATATTTTGTTTATGGTAGATTCAAGTAAACTTATTTCAAATGTTACTTGTTTTTTTTGTAAAGTGAGTTATAAAACGTAAACATTGATTACGTAAAAACACTGTAATACAGATTCTGTGCACAGAATTCACAGGAATTATTGATTTTTATTTTACTGTTGATCACATCGTGGTATTGAGTTTTGGATTCTTGCGTCACGTATTGAAATGAATTATAAATAAATATCAATATTATATAATATGTCATTTCATTGAATGAATACAACGATTGAAATAATCATTGTTCAATGATATTAATTAACCACATTTTCGCTACAAATTAGTTTATTGATAAATTATTAGTTTGTATAGAGTAGAGCTTATTTTTCTATAATGTTTTATATATTTTTATATTACATTTAATAATTGTTAACATTGTTCAAATAAAATGCTCTGAAGTTATTAATGTCTTATAGTCACAGTATTTAAGTGTTGAAACATTTAACCAAAACATTTATAAAGCATCAATGAAGTTGTTCAGATAATTTGGTTGTTTGTATGAAATATCGGCAATAGATTACTGTTATCTGTAATTAAAACAATAATATTAATAACTATTTATATTTCTTTTAACAATTAATAATGAATTATAAAATACATACAAATAATAGTTTAGGAAAAGTCATCACAAATAGTAGTCCGACAATTACTAATTATCATATTCAATCCATGGACAATGCTAATAAATTCGTTCAGCATCATCCGAATTATGGTTACCGTATAGCATCAATGTGTGTGAGTTGTTTCAAAATAAAATACTTTATATCTTAATTAATGGTGATAAATTGTATTTATTTATCTACATTTATTTAGAAAATGTATACAGTACATGTGTCAGTGTTAATAGGCCAATTTGTTACGCAATTCTTAGAATCGGAAACAGAATCAAATTATCTTGATTAATTTAAAGTTATATGGGATAGGAACATTTATTCTTGAACGCTCTAGTAGTTATTGAATTATTAAAACACAACACTTGTCATCAATACCTCCAGAATAAATTAGGAGAAATGATAACCTATTAGACTATGGTATTTATAGTATACTTAAAATTATGAAAATAGTTTCATTATTTAGGTTTACATTCGTAGGCACCAGAAATCAAATTTCAGTAACTTTGGATAATTAGTTTTGATGCTAAAATTTTTCAAAGTGCACCAGTCAAAATAATGTATTCCTATGGGAGGGTCTCATTTTTGGTATTTGTTGACGTGTAAATTTCGACTAAAATTTATCATGCTTAAATAATAATAGAGATAATACAAAACCCCTACTCTTTTGAAATCATCAATATTTAATGTATTTAATGAGATGCTATTCAATGGCCAACAGTGACGGGTACCCCAACTCTGGCCACACAAAAATTGGTAATTAACCCGATTGGCGGCTTGTGTTCGGTCGGTTCGCATTTGATTCTCGTTATCATTGAAGTTATGATATCTTTTCTAAACTATTGTCAAATAACTATTAGTGAATCCCAATAACCAAATAATCACTTCAAACACCTCTTTAGTAAAAATATTTTCACTTCAAAAATGAGATAATTTTTAATCAAATATTTTGTTGTAAATTATTCAAAATAATTCCGACTGACAAACTTTGAAAAAATCCTGTTCATTAACTACTTATCCCATCTTGATGAAACTTGGATTCTAGTGCCTAAGAATGTTAACTTAAATTATCAGACTGATTTCAGAATTTTAGCTACACTAAAAATTAGGTAGTATAATAGGTTGTCATTTGAGCTAATAAATCCATAAAGTGTTTTACAAAAACATTGAACAGATATCGCGATCGACTCAATTCGTTCAACCATTGTGTAGACAAACCCGGAATTTACAGAATATTCTGTTCACAGTAGTAGTGCTGCCATCGGATGTGATTGTCAAACATTTTTATATGGATGTGCATTGATTATTATTATAGACATACAGCACATGCACTCTAAACACTGGACAGGTATTGTATGTGCAAAAACAGCAGTGACGGAGCCATTCAATGTGCACAGAGATCAGGCATTACTGGAATAATATATGTACAGTAATATTACATTTACTCGATTTAAACTGTATTTACAGTCCATGTATTATGCAATCATAAAATACTGTCACGACTAAAACCGGCTCATATAAAACGTACATAAATGATGTTTAATTATCGGGGTTAATTATGCAATTAGTTAGCGCGTGATTCAAACAATGAGCAACGGTTTTACTGTGAGTTCCCTTCGCG